AATTACGAGTAACTGAGAAAATCTGTATATTCTATCAATAAAATAGTCAACTGTTCAATATGCGAACCAAGTGCCGTGAATCCATTGGGAAGATCAAGTGCAGTTTCACCAGGTTGTAACAGCATACGTCACAGGCGCGGATTTTAGGATAAATGGTGATTGATTTCCAAAACAACAAGTGCCTTCTAGTGGGGTCCAGGGAGATGCTCCCTTAGGAAATGTTCTGAAATTTTTTCATCCTTTAAGTATCCTTTTTGGGGTTTCCGAGTAATACTGAAAATCTGACCGATTTCCGTAAAACGGTGGCAACCAGTAAGGATCCGCGCCTGCGTCAAACTGTCCCGACTGCGTCAGACTGCGGACCTGGGGTAAAATTCAGACCGAGAATAACATGCAGACTATGGACTTTTTAACTGAATGTTACCATTTCCATCATTGAGAGCTAACCGTACACAGGTTAATCGGAGCGTTATTTAGGCTAACTTGAGTGATATTCAGGCTAATCGGAGTGATCTTCAGGCTAACTGGAGTGCAGAGTTTCACTGCAATTAGCCTGGATAACCCTGTTTACGGTTAGCACTCGATATTGGAAATAACACGATATTTAAAATGTCTGCAGCCCGCATGTTACCCTTAGTCTGCATTTTACCACGGTCTGCAGTCTGCAGTCCGCGTTGTACACTGACCGATTTGAAAACGGTGTTTTCACTCGAGGCATCAAAAACTCCGTTTTCAAAACGTTTTCCGTCCATACTAAAACTGTTTGAAGAGCGCTTTCGAAAAGCTCCGTTTTCGTGACGGATTGGTATGGACTGCAAGCCTAACCGTAGAAACAAAGCTACGTTTTCAATAGTCTATAAGTAGCCGGCTACACGTACGCTACGTTTTCAAATTTCTCAGGCGCAGTGTGGACAGGGCCAAAAATAAAGATTTATTTTATTATAAAACAAAAAGTGGCATTTCTCTCGGAAAGACAGGAAAAACTCAAGTCGAGGTAAATGACAAAAACAAGATGCAAGACAGATAACTTTTCTGATCCTCATCAGTTTTCTGTTTGTAATTGAGTTCTAGTTCCCTATCCCCAATATTTGAAAACTACTGTTACCAGACAGATGTAACAACGAGGGAAAATGTAAGAGACTGGTTCACTTGTTCAGAAACTGGTTTAATGGATGTCTTCTCTCTACTGTAGCCGTGGCGTTTAAGTTCGCTCGCATTACATCCACCCACTGAGCTGTGATTGGTCAATTCGTCAATTCCTCAGAATGAATGAGAACCCTAGAAACAGTGGCTTCTTTAGGTAGAAACTAAGGAAACAACGAGTTAAATCGAGGGCCAGTATGAATCGCTAACCCAAAACTAACTTTTAAACTGTAGATTTTGGTACCAGTCACAAATGCCTCTAAACCTAACTGAACGTGATCGTAATTTTATCAGCAGCAAGCGTAATACAAAAGCTATATTATATGAAAGAGTAAACATTTCTGCGTAGGTAAGCTAAAAACTAATTACACTGTAGAACGTACTATTGTTCGCAAACTGCACACATCCCTGGACTACTTCAAGATAATTTATCTTTGTGCGAGTTGTCCTAACTACAGGCTACGCGAGAGGTTTTCCACTAAAGCAAGGTTATAGCAAAGTTGAACTAGAAAACTTCCCTTATGAAGTGTGGTTGATGGAAGGAATTTCTTGCCCATCTACGCTCTGCCCTTACTTAAGTCTGTTCTTCAAAGTACGACCATAGAGCTAACGCCTTAGATTTACTTCACAACTGGGTACAAGATAGGAAGCACTTTACATCGTGGGATGTTCATTATACAGCTAAACCGAAACTCCTGTTTATAAACAGTGCTAAAGCAAATCTTGGTGGTGTTCTCGATGCTTTGGTTAAACAAAGGAAGTTGGTCGGTATTGAAGTACCTTATTTAATAGAATAGATAAATTTCTGGATTTAAGACAGTGTTAAAGAAATCTCGCCCTGCTCAAGCGTTATTTTCTTGTTTTGTTTTCCCTCGTCTCCAAAGTAAAAGATATAAAAATTTTTAAAAAATGCCAGTCTTCTTTTCCTCCACTCTCTTATCTTCCTTTTCTTGTTCTTTTTTCTTTTCATCGCTTGGAGTCAAAGTGCATATGTTTGATTTGGTGCAAAGTAATGAGACGGTTTTCATAAATCCAGTCACATATTTTTGGTGTAAATATTCGTTAAATAATCTATAATCATTAATAATTTTTGAAAAGTACTATTAATATTATCACAAAATAAACTAGTGCTAGAAACTAAAGCTCTTACTACGTCGATCATCTAAGAAACAAAAGCATTTCTCCATAAATAACTACTTTGAGCAGTCTCAAAGAAGTGTCTTGTCTGAAATATTTCACGTCACATTGAAATATTACACTGTAATATCTATCGATAAAAGTAAATAACAAAGGCAACTATTGCCTCTCATAAACTTTTCCTATTTGATAATTTTTTAAAGATATATTATCGGCACCCTGGGTTCCAGAGGTTCTGTCTCGCGCACGGCGGACGGAAATACTTTCGCACTGGTGACAATAGAGACATGACCGACACTGGAAACTGCGTAAGAAAAACCTCTGGCACCCAGGGTATATTATTGGCAATTTTTTATTAATTTTTTTTGTTGAAAAATAACACTCCATTTCTCCTGCACAGCGAATAATTCTGAATTTCGTTTTGTTTACTGTGCGACTACTCAAACTGACCCACTTGGTATCTTAGCCCCTTCGAAGGAAAGCCCGACCGCAAATGGGGCAGTTCAATCTGAAAGAAACAATAAAAAAGAGATGTCAAAAGCGAGAAAGACATCCTTTTAGTAGTAACATAAGAAGATACATTTTTAACTAACTGACATACTTGAATAAAAGATCCCCAAATCTGACCCTCTACGCAAAGAACGGACACACTACTCCTCAGCAACCGCCAGAAAAGGGAAGAGTTCCCAAAGACTTCGATAAATGGCGTACAATGTTTTATTAAGTCTAGCTGGTAAACGTTGATACAAGGAAAGCTTGCTCTTACAGGGAAAAGTCTAGCTGGTAAACTGTGATGAAAAAGGAGTGCCAATTTGAAAAAGGAAAATGTGCTTGGTGTGATTAGGAATAAATTACCCTTGACAAGCAGATCTCTTAAATTTAGTTTGCTGAAATTAGGAAGCTTTATTTATACTGAAAAAAAAAAACTGATCAGCGAATTCAATATGAAGATGCTGTTATGAATCGGTGATCAGTACATAAAATAAAATTTACTATTAATGGAACTTAAGGTAAAAAGTAAAATAAAAACTACTAAATATGTACATAACCTATACACTACATTCGTGTTGTGCCTTATCTAATTGTATTAAAAAGTTAATAGTTTTAATTTTAAAAGTTCTTAGTGTTTCAAAAGCACGTAGGTCTTTGGGGAGGTCACTCCATTCCTTTATATTACATATTACATATGTTACATAATATTACATACATGTCTGAATTTATGAAAACCGTGTCAAATTTGGGGCAAAACTTTCGCGCCTGCCTTTCGCCGACAGGCAGGCCTTTGCGGTGCTTGAAAAGCCAGGGGGGCTTCCGTTAAGGCGGGTGGGGGAAGACAGCCCTGGGACCTGGCTACCAGCTGATACCAAGCAGGGCCGCCAGGCTCTAACCCCAGGGGGGTGTGGTGGGCCACAGAGAAACGCATTTTCTTCAGTTAAAATGTTCATTTTCTCTGCAGGACAGCCTTGGCCAGCAATGCCCTGCAGCCTTAGCAGTGCTTTCAATAAGATTTGAAGTAGACGTCTGCCAGTATAAAAGTAGGTGGCTAAGGATATATAGGTGGCCATAAGTTTCAGTTTTTATTATTGTACACTATTTACAGAAAAACAACTTAACGTAAGATGGTTTACAATGATGTAGGAAAAATAAATACTTATATATATTAACTAGAAGAAACAATATTTAATTGTGTACAGTGACCAAAGTAGCCAATGAGCTTTCGAGTTGGTCACTGTCATGCACATATAAGTTGGCGTTGGCCGCATGCTAAGTTAAGAGACTATATTTTTCACTACTAAAATGAATTCCTTGCAACTTTTGACCATTTTATAACCTTAATAATCGAGAGTTTAATATTGTAAATGGCTCATGGTCAGTTCAGTTCAATCAGCTAATAGAAACTGACCTATTTAATTTGATATCCAACCCTGATAAATCTGATGAAATCGATCCTGACTGAATGCTTACTATTCCAATGTCAAATCACTACTCCATTTCTCAGATAAATAATTCTATTGCCAAACATTGAANTGCAGATATAAGTTGGCGTTGGCCGCACGCTTGAGACATTAAGCACAAACATCAAAGTGCTAACCGATCGATGCAGTCAAATCGAACAGTCAATACAGTTCTAGTCCGATAAGTACGATACAGTTCTTGGGATACTACAAGCTACTAAAAAGCAAATTGCCGGACTTGAAGCAAACGTCAAAGAACATGCGGACCAGATTACTGAAGATAACAAGCACGATACTTACGCTATAAATAATAATAATAATTCTGCACAATATGATAAAACACCATTACTACATTAGCCTGCAATGCAGGCGTATTTTGGCGAGAGATCGAGCGCATTTTGACCAAGCGAGGGCTATCTTGGATTCAAACTCGGAAGAGGCTTGGGGAGAGACGAAAAGGTGTCCTAGGGAGTCCGGCCACTTTTTCTAAACCAACATGGCGGCGAATCTACTCGATCGCGAGCTAATACAGCTATAATTCATGAACACACAGAAAACGCTTCCACTGCTGGCTATTACTACATAAACTTCACACCTCCCTCTTTACCTTCGTCTTGAACTTGATAAGTGATGTAGAATTTCTGGGGTTTAGCTCAGGGAGGCAAACGTTTTAAGAGCATGATAGAGAGGAACGTTGCGCTGTGTTGGTGCGATAGAAAGGTACATTAAGGTCTTAATTTTGACGTCTTGTATTTATTTTCACAGCAATTTGATGGAAACATTGGTGACGCTGATACAATCTCAAAACATGTTTTACCAGCTCCCGTAAATTCTACTCTCATTCGAATTCGTCCACTGAAGTATAGACAATGGATATGCATGAGGGTGGAATTGTATGGCCAGGGTAATCATAAAAATATTTTTAGTAACTTTACATTCTAGTTATGAAATAGCAAAACATGTTCCGTGTTTCCATCGAGTTATAGAAACACGATTGGAAGTTTGGGAAGACGAGAGATGCTGTGGGATCGAACACGAAGTTTCCACAGCTTTTTCGAGTTCTCCCAAACTTCCAAGGGTGTTTCTATAACTCGATACATAGCAACACGGAGAACATGTTTTCTACTTCTTTTAGTATATTCCGCGACAAAACGTATATATTCTCTTTGCTCGCGCCATCATTACGTCAACACTAGCTCGTGCTAATTCTGTGTTTCTATCATGTTTTAGTATAAATCTACTTAAGGTCTATCACAAATGCCGTTTCCTGATCGGCTACGCTACTCGCTATCTATTCTGTGATATTTAGTGAGAAGCGTAGCAGTGTGCGCTTGTGAACGAAATGACGTCCGCTTCTTTGCGTTTTCGAGGTGTCTGTGAGGAGGTTTAGATAAAGTTTTTAACGACTAGTAGGTTTATACTAAAACAATTAGATTATCCGCTGCGCCCTCGTCAACTATCAAGCGATAAAAATCGAGAAAGAAAAATCTAGTTATTAAATAGAGACACGATTTTAAACCAATCAGCTGGCGAGTATTTTGTTTGGGTTATTTTCTAACTGGCATTATTAACCCCGTGAGTTCAATCCACGGGCGAGGTAACTCCGAGATCGCAAGATGCCATTACACCACAACTAAAATTCTTCAATGATCTTCCATAAATGGATAACAAAAAAGTTAGAAGAGGGTACACCCGCCTTAAGTTTATCTTTCATGTTAGGAGAGCTGTTGTTGCAACCGGCACATATATCGTGGAGGAAGTTGTATGTTCCCAGCAGGTTGTCCGGCTTCTTGTCATTTCAGTCCCTTTGAGACTGCCAAATCTGTTATGTTCGCTACCCGGGAGGGGAGCGGAGTGTACTCCCTTATCTGGGCTATATAGGTATGTGCGGCCCCAAAGTTTTTCAGCCGTTTTGGTCATAAATAGGGTATCGATTTTGGCCATTTTGATCTCAAATAGGGTCTGGTTATTGCACTCTTGTCTTGATCTGGGTATGTTTTTTAGAAGAATTAAGCTCCTTTTTCTTTATTATCGATAACACCATCAACAAAAGCCATTCATAAACTATGTTTAGGGAAACTGTGCCAGTCGCAACGGTCATAAATAGGATATAAAATTTTTGGTCAGGTCGTAAATAGGGAATAGAAAATCACAGATTTTGGTCATAAATAGGGTAAGGGTTTTGGGAAGCGGGCCGCACACTCCCACCCAATTGTTATGGGTTTACCCTCCCCCCCCCCGGTGTTCGCCTTAAATGTTGCCCAAGGTTGCTATTTACATTTTATCCTCTCTCCAAGAGCGACTGAAACGTGTTGAAAAAATTGAATTTAATAGTGAAGAAATGTATATAAAATAATGTAGTTCCAAAGTTTTATACCATAATTTCCCGACAGTTGTTTAGACACGCTGCTAAAGTAAACTCTTGTTTTGAACTCTATCGATTTTAATTTGCCTTTACATGTCATTTATTTTCTTTTTGTGTCACATGTTAGCAAGTGAAGGAACTTTAATCACTACGAGAACTGTTTCAACAACACACACCAGGTCAAAGAGAGCAGCTGAATCTACTGCAGCCACGGGAACTTCAACGAAACCAACGATAGCAACTATGTTAACTACACCAAATGTAACAACATCAATTTCACCGAAGGTCCTGCGTACATCAACTGCACCGAAGCGGGAAACTACATCAACTGCACCAAAGGAAGTAACAACATCAACTGCACCAAATATAGTAAGAACATCCACTGCGCCACGAGAGGTAGTAACAGCAGCAACACCAAACGAAGTAACTACTTCAACTGCGCCAAAGGTAGAAACTGCATCAACAGCACCATTAGTAGTAACTATATCAATCGCACCAAAGGCAGTAACTACAATGACTGCACCAAAAGTAGAAACTACATCAAAGGCACCATTGGTTGTAACTACATCAATCGCACCAAAGGCAGTAACTACAATGACTGCACCAAAAGTAGAAACTACATCAACGGCACCATTGGTAGTAGCAACATCATCAGCACCAAAGGAAGTAACTACATCAGTTGCGTCATTGGTAGTAACTACATCAATCACACTAAAGGAAGTAACTACATCGACTGCACCAAAAGTAGAAACTACATCAACCACAGCAACTGTATCAACAGCACCAAAGGAAGTGACTACATCAACAGCACCATTGGTAGTAACTGCATTAACAGTACCAAAGGAAGCAACTACATTAGTTCCGCCATTTGTAGTAACTACTTCAACTGCATTAAAGGAAGTAGGTACATCAACCCCACCATTGGTAGTAGTTACATCATCTAAACCAAAGGTAGTAACTACATCAACAGCACCACTGGTAGTATCTACATCAACTGCACCAATGGAAGTAACTACATCAACTGCACCAAAAGAAGTAACTACATCAACTGCACCAAAGGAAGAAACTACATCAACTACACCAAAGGAGGTAGCTACATCAACCCCACCATTGGTAGTAATTACGTCATCTACACCATTGGTAGTATCTACATCAAATGCACCACAGGAAGTAACTACGTTAACTGCACCAAAGGAAGTAACTACATCAACTGCACCATTGGTAGTAACAACAACTACTGCACCACTGGTAGTAACAACATCACCTGTACCAAAGTTGGTAACTGCATCAATTTCACCAAAGGAAGTAACAACATCAACTACACCAAGGGAAGTAACAGCATCAACTACACCAAAGGCAGTAACTACATCAACTGCACCATTGGTAGTAACTACATCAACCTCAGTAAAGGAAGCAACAACATCAACTGCATCAAGGGTAGTAACTACATCAATTTCACCATTGGTAGAAACTACATCAACTCTAACAAAGGAAATAATAACATCAACTGCATCAAGGGAAGTAACTAAATCAACTGCACCATTGATAGAAACTACATCAACTGCACCAAAGTTAGTAACTGCGTCAATTTCACAAAAAGAAGTAACAACATCAACTACACGAAGGGCAGTAACTACATCAACAGTGTTAAAGGAAGCAACAACATCAACTGCACCATTGGTAGTAACTACATCAACCTCACTAAAGGAAGTAACAACATTAACTGCATCAAGGGTAGTAACTACATCAATTTCACCATTGGTAGAGACTACATCAACTGTACCAAAGGGAATAATGACATCAACTGCATCAAGGGAAGTAACTAAATCAGATGCACCATTGGTTGAGACTACATCAACTGCCCCAAAGAAAGTAACTACATCAACTGCATCATTGGTAGAAACTACATCAACTGCACCAAAGGAAGTAACAACATCAACTACACCAAAGTTAGTAACTGCGTCAATTTCACCAAAGGAAGTAACAACATCAACTACACCAAGGGCAGTAACTACATCAACAGTACTAAAGGAAGCAACAGCATCAGCTGCACCATTGGCAGAAAGTACATCAACTGCACCAAAGAAAGTAACCGCATCAACTGCACCATTTGTAGAAACTACATCAACTGCACCAAAGGAAGTAACAACATCAACTGCACCAAAGGAAGTAACAACATCAACTGCACCAAAGAAAGTAACAACATCAACTGCGCCAAAAGAAGCAACATCATCAACGGCACCATTGGTAGTAGCTACATCAACTGCACCAAAGGAAATAGTAACATCAACTGCACCAAAGGAAATAGTAACATCAACTGCACCAAAGGAAGTAACTACAACAACTGCACCATTGGTAGTAACTACATCAACTGCACAAAGGAAAGTAAGTACATCAGCTGCACTAAAGATATTAAAAACATCCACTGTGCCAAGAGTAGTAGCACCAACAACATCAAACGTAGCAACTAAATCAGTGGCACTGAAGGTTGAAACTACATCAACTGCACAAAGGGTAGTAACTACATCAACTGCACCAAAAGAAGAAACTACATTACCTGTGCCATTGGTAGTAGCTACATTAACTGCACCTAAGCAAGTAACAACATCACCTGCACCAAAGTTGGTAACTGCATCAATTTCACCAAAGGAAGTAACAACATCAACTACACCAAGGGAAGTGACAGCATCAACTACACCAAAGGCAGTAACTACATCAACAGTACTAAAGGAAGCAACAACATCAACTGCACCATTAGTAGTAACTACATCAACAGCACTATTGGTAGTAACAACTACGACTGCACCATTGGTAGTAACTACATCAACCTCACTAAAGGAGGTAACAACATTAACTGCATCAAGGGCAGTAACTAAGTCAACTGCACCTTTGGTAGAAATGTCAACTACACCAAAGAAAGTAACTACATCAACTACACCAAAGAAAGTAGCTACATCAACTGCATCATTGGTCGAATCTACATTAACCACACCAAAGGAAGCAACAATATCAACTGCGCGAAAGGCAGTAACTACATCAACCGCACTACTAATAGTAAGTACATCAACTGCACCATTGCAAGTAACTACATCAACGGCACCATCGGTAGAAACTACATCAACAGCACCAAAGAAAGTAACTACATCAACTACACTATTAGTAGTAACTATATCAACTACACCATTGCTAGTAACTACATCAACAGCACCATCGGTAGAAACTACATTAACAGCACCAAAAGAAGTAACGACATCACTTGCACCAAACTTGGTAACTGGGACAATTTCACTAAAAGAAGTAACAACGTCAACTTCATCAAAGGCAGTAACCACATCAAATGCAGTAAAAGTAGTAACTACATCACCTACACCAAACGAGGTAAGCACATCAACTGCACCAAAGGAAGTAGCGACATCAACTGCATCAAGGGTAATAACTACATCAACTACACCATTGGTAGTAACTACGTCAACAGCATCAAAGGAAGTAACTACATCACCTGCACCGTTAGTAGTAATTGCATCAACAGCACCAAAGGAAGTAACTACATCACCTGCACCAAAGGAAGTAGCGACATCAACTGCCTCAAGGATAGTAACTACATCAACTGCACAAAATGTAATAAGCGCAGCAACTGCACCGATGGTAGTAATTACTTTGACGCCATTGGTAGTATCTACATCATTGACACCAAAGGTAACAACTACGTCTACTACATTAAAGGTGGCAACTTCATCAACTTCAACTACACTAAAGGAAGTAACTAGATCAACTATACCAGAGAAAGTAACTAAATTTACTGAACTAATGGCAGAAAGTACATCAACTGCACCAAAGGAAATAAGCACATCAAACATACCAAAGGTAGAAACTACATCAGTTACACCAGAGGCAGTACCTGCAACGACCTCACCAAAGGTGACAACTACATCAACATCAGCTGCACCAGTGGTAGAATCTACATCAACTGTATTAATGGTAGTAACATCAATTGTACCAAAGGAAGTAGTAACATCAACTGCACCAAGGGTACTACCTACACCAACTGCACTAAAGATAGTAACCTCATCATATACACTAAAGGTGGTAGATACATCAACTACATATACACCAGTTACATCAGTCTCACCAAAGAAAGTAATTATACCAGCTAGTTATACTTCTGACCTACCATCGAAGTTTATATCAACAGCAGATACATCAACAGCGTTTATTAAAGTTTCACCGTCAAGTCCTACCGCCAGTTCCTCCACACCCAATGGTAAATAAAGTTTCAATTCTGTATAAGAAAATGTACTTTCATTCAATCGTGCACTCATTTGTTGATAACTTGTTCATGCCTCGTTCATTTATTCTGCCAAACAGACCTCAATTCGCTGAAGCATTAACTCGTTGAAGCGTTATTTAGAAATCAATTTATTTCTATATTTTTCCTTTCTAATTTTTTTAGTACCGGCGACAAGCGTTAATCCTGCTGCGACATCATCAGAAGGTATAGAGTTACATATAAGGTCTTTTGTCACTGCTAAATCCACAATGTTTTGTTACCATCTGACACAAACGTTCTTGCTCTTCTTACTGGCCTTTTAGTGAACAGATATGAGCGCGTCAAATGACCTGATTGTTCTCATAACAGAGATGGGCTAGTTGTAGGTAATTTGTTGCAATGTAAAATCATATGCGAATTGCAGGGGAAAGAACAGAAAAGAGATGAGATTTTCGCGGTTGCATATCAAATTATGTACTCATGGAAGCCGGGGGGGACGGGGGGGAGGCATAACACTGATATAGACTGGCAACCCGCCGATGAGGAAAAGGCATACTTCTGGGGTGGTGTGGGTCACTTTGGCTAGAACGTTTAAACGGAAGTCTGACAGATAATTTAACGGAATATCAAATGTCATTGGTTAAACTTTGGTTGGAGCCATTTTTCACGCTTTCTGTTGTTGATCTGAATAAACTGATACGTAACTGCGAAGATCTGAATTAATCGCTTCCAACGTTTGTGTTTTTACTTATTTCAGGATATATTGTTCCCGAGAATTTAACATAGGTTTCCCTGCAGAATTAACGCATAAGTACTACCATGATCATCGTCATTAGACTTTTGTACACTTCATGTATACTAACACAACACTAACGTTTACAGGAGACTCAGTGTCTTTGCAAGTTAAAATTCTTGTTCCTGTGGCCCTGTTTATCTTGTTGGTAATCGTGATCGCATGTTGGAGGTATTGCGACCGTGGCAACACGAATCAAAATAATGACGCAGAGCCGGTTGAATTCACCCCAATGGTACGTTCATGAATAACAATAAAAATATGTACAACTGTACAATCATGCAAGCAACAATATTTTTTCTGCTGCTCAAGATTCTTTACAGTCTTACACCCGGGGGGGGGGGGGACTTCTCCCTTATATGGGCTAAATAGATATTTGCAGCCCCAAAAGGTATGGGTTTTTAGCCGTTTTGGTCCTTAAAGGCATCGATTTTGGCCATTTTGGTCTTAAATGGGGTATGCTTTTGCACTTTAGTCTTGAACTGGGTATTTTTTTGCTCATGCATGGCAACTGTGTCAGGTCATGAAAAGGATATCGAATTTTTGGTCAGGTCATAAATTGGATAGAGAAAATCGCAGATTTTGGTCATAAATAGGGTAAGGGATTTGAGAAGCGGGCCACAACCCCATCCAAATGTTGTGGTTGTATCCCCGGGTCTTATATTTAGTCATAAACTCCTGTTTAATTACCCAACGCTACACATTTTCCCTCTGTGAAACCATGAAAATACTATCTCTGAGTGATTATTCATCTGTTTGCTAGACATGAATGGACAATGAATGAAGAAATTACCCGATGATCACAAGTGTATATACCATACAGTGTAACTGCGAACTGCTGTAGGGTCTTGTCCTTTTCAGTTCAAGACAGAAATAAAGGGAACCCCGACATTTTGTGGTCGCTTACAAAGGCCCTTGTGGTTACTCGCAATGTAAAGAACAGTACCTTAGAGGTAGCGTTTCGCTTAATGGTCAATCTGTCTATAAATGTCTTAACTTCACTGTACGTTGTAATTACCAGGACCATGGCGGTTTAAGAACCCAGGCTATAATTTTACCACTGCTTACAACTTGCATTTAAATGTTTACTTATTATTATCATCATCATCATCATTATTATTTTTGTTATTATTATTTTTATTATTATTATTATTATTATTATTGCGTTACTTTTGTGCTAGTTACTTTCGTCTTAAAGGGTTTTCCTTCCCGATCCTTAGATGCCAAAGACAGACGGAGGACCTAAAGCTGACGAGAAAGAGGAGGATTTGCCGTCCGATGAAGTCTAACAGAAAATAATTTTGAATTTATTATTGCTAAAGAAAATTATTAGGAAACATTTGATAACATGCAAATCGGCATAAGATAATAAATAGTAAATTAATTGAAGTGAAATACCCTTCGAGGTAATATTTTTAGACTTGAGTTTTACAATTATAATCTGTGCTACGCATAGCCGTAAAGAATAAAATTTGCAGAAGCATTATATACGAAGTATGTTTCCTTAAAATTGCTACGTTTGAAGTCCAACAGTATTCATTGTGATGTCGACATTGAAAGGAAGCAAGCCACCATATGCTTCTTTCCTTTCAGGATGATCATCAAATTAAACTAAATTAGTAATTTCGGCGTCTTAGGCCGTTTCCACGCTACGCCGGAGGAATTTGAAAACTCAACAATTACCGGCCGTTTTGGATTTGCGTTTGAGCAAAACTGGGGCCAG